TAATTTCTCATATACTTTTTCAGCTATTTATATAATAGAATTTCAAAAAAGAGGACTCCCACATGCTTATATTTTGCTTTTCATGGATTCTAATCACAAATTCCCAACCACATGTTAAAGATCTGATGATCCATGGGCCATGTGGTGCAATTAACAGAAATTCACCGTGTATGCAAGATGGACAATGCAGCAAGTTTTTTCCTAGAAAGCATGTCGAGAAAACTACAGTGGATTCTCATGGTTGTCCAGTTTACAGGAGAAGAGAAGATGGTAAATTTGTTGAGAAAAAAGAATTTCAGTGATAACGGGTTTGTAATTCCTTACAATAAGAAATTACTCCTTGGATATATTGCACATATAAATATTGAGTGGTGTAATCAATCCCGTTCTATGAAGAACTTATTTAAGTACATCAATAAAGGCCAAGACTGTGTAACAGCAAGCGTGACTCAGTCAACTTATAAAGAGTACTGGATCCGAATCAAATGGAATTAGTCAATCAGCCGAACAAGCTGAACAGAATCCTGGCCAAGAAGGATCAGTACAACCTGTTGACGAGATCAAAAAATATTTCGATGCAAGATACATAATAATATGTATTTACAGAGATATGTATTTTTTCTGCATCTACTATATCATTCATAACATATAATTTCAAATTGTTTGTCTTAGATATATCTCTGCTTGCGAAGCTACTTGGAGAATATTGGCTTTCCCTACACATTATCGATCAACACCCGTCGAGAAGCTTTATTTCCATCTCAAAGGTGAAAATGTAGTAATCTTCAATTCTGGCGATTCAGTGGGTACTGTTTTATCTCGACTAGATATCTCTAAGACAATGTTCTTAGCTTGGTTTGATTGTTGTGAGAAATACCCTGAAGCTAGGGAATTGACTTATGCACAGCTTCCAACTAAATTCGTTTATGATGGAAGGAAAAAAGTCTGGAATATACGACAGAAAGGGTTTGCAATTGGAAGGCTGAATCATGTTCCTCCAAGTGCTGGTGAGCTTTATTTTCTCAAAGTACTGCTTAATAAAATAACAGGTGCACGGTCGTTCGATTATATCAAGACACTTAATGGTATTATTGAATCGAACTTCGAAGATACATGTTACAAACTAGGTTTATTGGATGATGACAAAGAATACATTGAAGGATTAAAAGAGTGTAGTTTCTGGACATCAGCCTCTTATGTTCTCAAGCTTTTTTCGATGATGTTATCATCTGAAAGTTTATCAGCGCATAAGTTAGTTTGGAAAGCAACCTGTGATATACTATCAGAAGACGTTCTCTACATGGAAAGAAAAAATCGTCCAAACCAAGGTGAGAATATCCGTTCAGAATCTATTCATTTGTTTAATTCTTTATTTCAAATTATTCTGCTGATTGGTTTTTTTATAATTTTTTTAATAGGTATCAACATGATTCTGAATTGTACATTAATCATGATAGATCAACTTCTGCGTAACAACAACAGCTCTTTGACCCACTTTACTACAATGCCGAAACCAGTTCAAGATAACTCTCATCAATCATTATCTGACAATCAGCTATTACAAGATGAACTCAACTATCCTCATGATGAATTGCAAGATAAACATGACGAGGTGCTTGGACAGTTAATAGATGAGCAAAGGTCTGTGTATGATGAAATACTAGGTTCCGTTTTCCACAAAAAGGAGGTGTCTATTTTGTATATGGATTTGGAGGTATTGGCAAAAATTTCTTGTGGAATATTCTTTCAGCTGCTATTTGTTGCAAAGGAGATGTTGTACTTAACGTTGGATCTAGCGCGATAGCCTCATTATTACTACCTGGTGGAAGGACTGCTCATTCCAGATTTGGCATTCCAATTAATCATGATGAGTTCTCAATGTGCAATATACAACCAGGAAGTGATCAAGCAGAGTTACTCTCAAGAGCATCTATTATTATCTGGGATGAAGCACCTATGATGAGCAAGCACTGCTTTGAATCTTTAGATCGTACTCTTTGCAACATTATGAAGAAGGGCGATGACAAACCTTTTGATGGTAAGGTTGTCGTATTTGGAGGTGATTTCAGACAAATATTGCCTGTTATTCCAAAGGGTAGTCGAGCTGATATAGTTATGTCTGCTCTTAATTCTTCATATATTTGGAAGCATTGCAAAGTTTTGGAGTTGACAAAGAATATGAGGCTCTTTTCAGAAACAGATATTCGTGAAGCTCAGGAGATAAATGAATTTTCTGAATGGATATTAAAGTTAGGTGATGGGAAGATTAATGAGCCAAATTATGAAGAAATTAAGATCGACATACCGAAAGATCTTTTGATTACTGAGTGCACTAATCCTATTGAGTCTATAGTTTCTGAAGTTTACGGGAGCACATTCAAAGATTCGAAAGACCCATTATTCTTTCAAGAAAGAGCTATTTTGTGTCCCACAAATGATGATGTTGATATGATTAATAACTATATGCTCGACCTTCTTAAAGGTATATACTCATCAATCCCTAATTATATACGTTATTTGTGTCTTTACATGTTTTTTATTTTCATTTTATCGTCTGATTACTATGTCAGGTGAAGAAAGAATCTATTTAAGCTCCAGCAGTATTGATCCATCATATTTAAACTCAAAGAATGATTCTGTTTTCTCACCAGAATTTCTTAATATTATTAAAACATCAGAGTTACCTAATCATTCTCTAAGATTGAAGATTAGTACACCTGTTATGATACTAAGAAATATTGATCCCTCTGGTGGGTTGTGTAATAGGACGCAATTGCAGATAACCCAAATGGCAAATCATATTGTTGAAGCGAAAGTTATCACAGGGAATATAGTTGGAGAAAAGGTGTTCATACCCCGTATGCTTATTTCACCATCAGATACTAAGCTTCCATTCAAGATGAGGTGCAGGCAGTTTCCATTGAAAGTTGCGTTTGCAATGACAATCAACAAAAGTCAGGGTCAAACACTTGAAAATGTAGGTTTGTTTTTGCCTAGACCTGTCTTCTCACATGGACAGCTCTATGTTGCTGTGTCTAGGGTGAAGTCTAGAAGAGGATTAAAAATACTAATTACCGACAAAGATGGGAAGCCACAGGAGTCTACCATGAACATAGTGTTCAAAGAGGTTTTCCAAAACTTATTTGAAAATGATTCTGAACCTTAGTTCAATATTTTGTTGCGGTATGTTTTGTAGACTGTATGGGGTTTATAACGTAGAGGCTTCAAGCGTTTTCTGGGTTTGGATTTTGTTTTTTAGTTCCATTTTTTCAATAATTTGTGACCTTTATGTTTCGTTATTTGTTTCCGTAAAATTATAATGAAACCTCTATTTTTAATCTTCGGTCTCTTTACATATTTTCGAAATATGTTACTCTCTTTAGTTACTACCTACGTATATAGTTTAAGTACATTGTATTATTACAACTTCAAACTATATTCCATTTGATTAACTTTAATATTCAATAGACAATAAAAAATAATATCTAAGATTCGAGTCATATACAATGTGATTATTTATTTATTCATGTGACACCAACGTGGAGGTGAACGTTCCATTGCAACTTATGTATTCTCAGTTTCCTCTTTTGTTTGTAATCCTTTTTTTTGGTTAGACGTTATAATTCTTATTTATTTATCCTAAAATATTTTAAAGAGATAAAATTATTGTTTACTATAATAATATCAATCGATAACTACTATAAATCTAGTCAATACATTGGTCTATTACATTTTACTAATACATATTAAATAAATAAACAACTTTCCGGTCAACACTCTTTGATAGCATTTACTAAGCTTTGAATATCGATGCTTTAATATTATTAGCATAATTCTTTTACCTTTCCGACTATCGTTAGTTTTTAATTATTTTGAAAGCATGAATTTTGTGTCTTCTTTCAAAAATTAAGTTATTTATATCTACTATTTTTTATATCATTCAAACCTATATTTAAACCCATTAAAGTAAAATAATGTATATTGATTGGACGTTACAGCGATTTTACACTAATATAAACAAAAAAAAAATTTATTATATTATTAATATATTTTACAATCATATTATATAAAACAAAAATTAAAACTAAATATATTATGTTATATAATATTAAAAAAATTATAGTAATTAAATAAAAGATATTTCACTCCACAGGGCACGGGTTATTACCTAGTTCTGTATTATTTAGAACTATTTGTTGGGGCTCTCGGAAAACCATTGTAAATTGTTGCCAAAAATATGTAGTTAAGTCAATTGAAGCTAAACTTTTATTTCTATTGCTCTGATCACGAATGCGTGCTCGTTTTGTTGATTCGATGACTAGGTATACCAGAAACCTCGTCCAAATTTTAAGTGGTTCATTCTCTTTCTTTTTTTTTCTTTTTTTCTCTTGGTTCTTTTTACACTCCACCTCCAAGCTAAGGGTTCAACTGCAAATTCTAGATACAAAATGACTTGAACAGACTCCAAAAAGACATAAGCACAAAGAACTAGCTAAGGACTCTAAGACACACTTATATGACATGAAACAAGACTCATATGCATAATAAATTTCTAAGTGAGATAGAAACAAGGGAAAATAAAATTAATTAAAGGACTAATTAAACCAACAATTTCAGTTGTTGTCACTTGTCAGCCTCTTCATCGTCTGGTTTCGTACAATAAGGTAACATTGAGTCTGTTCTAGCGTGGGCTGCTTCACCTTCTTTTTCTATATTTTCTACGACAGTAATATTATATTTATTTTATTTCTAGTAGAATATTTTGCGTAAATGAACACGGATTTGCAAACAACAAAATTATTATTTTGCTCAACCATGTCGGCAAGTATCACGGGAAAAACGTGATAGGCGGATACCACTGACTTCCAAATTTATTGAAGAAATATATGGCCACAGAAAATGAAGATATGAGCCCATATGCTGCTACAAGTGGAATAAGCATTAGGACATGCATAGCCATAATGGAGCGACAGATCATTTTATATTAGTACTATCACAAACATACATACAATTATCTATGTATAATACTATTTTCTAGCCACAATTATTTGTACTTGATTGTCAATTTTCCATATTAGAACCACTTGTTGGGGACAAGGCCGGATACATGTAGAGGAGTGGTGTGGCATGGAGGTTAATTAGTAGAGAATTATTTCAATGCTCCTATTTTAAATATTGGTCAAATTTTTGTTCCACATTAAATAAGTTTTTGTATCTGTCCTGGTTGGGGCAAATTTCACAATTCTCTATATATAAGATGTATTTCCATATCCTTTTTCTCTCACACAGACACAAACTCAGAAAATACATACACTTCAAGACAAATAAAGAAGATGGACAATCTGCCGTTATGTGAAGCAAACAATGTTCCCCTAACTCCCATAACGTTCTTGAAGAGAGCTTCCGAATGTTATCCCAATCGAACTTCCATAATCTACGGACAAACTCGTTTCACTTGGCCCCAAACCTATGACCGTTGCTGTCGTCTTGCCGCTTCTCTCCTCTCTCTTAACATCGCCATGAATGATATCGTATGTCTCCCACTTACTCTCGTCTCTGTAACACCTTAAACATCTAATAATATATATGAAATGTGTGCTTAGGTATCTGTTCTGGCCCCTAACATACCAGCCATGTACGAGATGCACTTTGCCGTTCCCATGGCTGGAGCTGTCCTCAACCCTATCAATACCCGCCTCAATGCAAAATCCGTTGCCACAATCCTCCTTCACGCCCAGCCCAAGATATTATTCATAGACCGCAATTTCGAACCCTTGGCTCGAGAAATCCTCCATCTACTAGCAAATGAAGACTCACAACTAAACGTGCAAGTCATATTCATTGAAGAGGCCGATTTCTCTAAAAGGTTTTCGACCAATGAATTAGACTATGAGGGTCTCATCTGTAGGGGAGAGCCTACATCTTCGCAGGTCGCACGTATGTTCCGTATTCAGAACGAGCATGATCCGATCTCGTTGAACTACACATCGGGTACTACAGGGAACCCAAAGGGTGCCGTGATTAGTCACCGCGGAGCATATTTGTGCTCTTTGAGTGCCATTATGGGCTGGGAAATGGGGACCTTCCCGGTCAAGCTTTGGACTCTGCCTATGTTTCATTGCAATGGATGGACTCTCACGTGGTCAGTGGCAGCACGTGGAGGCACCAATGTCTGTATCAGGCACGTGACTGCCCCTGAGATATTTAAGAACATAGAATTGCATAGCGTGACCCATATGTGTTGTGTTCCTACGGTTTTCAATATTCTCTTGCAAGGAAAAGAGCTTGACCTATCAACTAGGTCGGCACCGGTTGAAGTGCTTACCGACGGTTCATCGCCTCCTCCATCCCTTGTTAAGAAAGTTCAGCGGCTGGGTTTTCATGTGATGCATGCCTATGGGCTTACAGAGGCCACCGGTCCGGCTCTCTTTTGTGAGTGGCAAGACGAATGGAACAGGTAATAATCATTGGCCTGAGTTTATAACTATTCATCATCCATTTCTAAATGATAGATGTTTTAGGTTATTCAGAGATTCTTCTAACAAGAATAAATAGTATAGGTTAATAAAGCAAAAAAGTATAATAATTACACTTAAAATTTTTAAAACATCTAATTTTTTGAAACATTTTTTTCTTCCAAACATATTTCATTTAGAAAAAGAGAAAATATTTCTTTTTAGTATCAAATTTCATTGTTGTCTTAAACATTTACCGAAAGCTTTAGTTCTTTTCTATAAAAAGGATAACATTGAACATAAATCGTATGGTCCGACGGTATGTTTGGAAGAAAGGGAAAAAACGAAAATCTAAATTTATTGGGATTTCTTAAGGCGACCGTAGACTCTTTGAGTGAAAAAAACGTGAGGATCATGATTGAGTCCAAAATCGATTTCGGTACCTAAAAAAAAAAAGAGTATATAAATGATTTTTGTTTAACTTACAACAATATATATGTTCAATTTTATTTTCAAGAATGTTCAAGATTAGTTTCATAACTCTATTTCCCAATTGAAAAAGACTACGAGAGAATCAACAGATGAAGCTGAAGGGAAGGCAAGGGGTAGGCATCTTAACTCTAGCTGAGGCTGACGTGAAGAACACAAATACTCAGGAGAGTGTTCCACGCGATGGGAAAACGATGGGAGAAATTATTTTGAAAGGAAGCAGCATAATGAAAGGATATTTAAAGAATCCCAAAGCAACATTTGAAGCGTTTAAACACGGATGGCTCAATACGGGAGACATAGGTGTGATTCATCCTGATGGGCACATAGAGATCAAAGATCGGTCCAAAGACATCATCATCTCTGGAGGCGAAAACATCAGCAGTGTTGAAGTTGAGAATGTTCTTTACAAGCATCAGAAAGTGCTGGAGGCCGCCGTCGTGGCCATGCCTCACCCTGTGTGGGGAGAAACCCCATGTGCATTTGTTGTCCTAGAAAAGGGTGATATCATTCAAGGAGATCGTGAAGATAAATTTGTGACCAGCGAAAGAGATTTGATTGAGTATTGCCGTGAGAATCTGCCTCGTTTTATGTGCCCAAGGAAAGTCATATTCTTAGAAGAACTGCCAAAGAATGGCAACGGAAAGACCCTTAAGCCTAAACTGAGAGACATCGCTAAAGTTTTTGTTCTCCATGATGAGAATATTGTTAGCTCTAAGAAAGTTCAACGAAAAAAAGAGACAAATCGTGTTGATTTTTTTACTTCTCGGCTTTGAGTGTGCTCTACAAATCTCTTAACATGTATGGTCGGGTTGATGACAACTTTAAGTTGTGGCCTAGTGTAACGACCCAAGCCCACCGAAATTGAGAAAAGCCCAACAAGAATTGCCAGCCCAACATGGCCCAAACCTAATAAACCCCACGTTGCCTTCTTCTTCCTCCATCTTCAAAAAGCTGCAGCGACAAATTGGAGAAAACACAAGCTTTGCCGATCACGCCGAGCCGTTGCCCAGATCACGCAATAACCGCCGTCACAGTTTCAGACCAAGCCGGCGTCCCTGCTAGTGATTCCGTAAACATGAGACGAAGTGCACGCGAGCCAAACCCGAGCCGCCGTCTTCTCGATCACGTGGCCGCCGATCACCAACACCGGCGATCTACTGCTCCAAGTCATCGCCATCGTCTTGTTGGAAAGAAAGAACTTTTAAGAGTGATGGAGAAGGTGTTTAAGAATTTGAAAGACAAAAGAACAAATTTAAGAAGAAAAAAGTTTTAGAACTTAGAGAACTTAGGAACTTCACTTAACTTCCCTTATTATTTCTTTTAGCTTGTTAGTTACAAAATGAGAGAGGAGGTAGCTATTTATAGCCTCCAAAGTATAAAATATCTAAAATATTTTATTCATAAATCTAGAGAATTCTATCTTAATATCTAGATTATTTTACAACAATTATCTAGAGAAATCTCTAGATATTTATTCTTTACAACTCTCTAGAACATTTTAAGGAGGTGGAAGTGTTGATTTTTCTAGAGAAAACTTTAGAATCTTTGATTAAGCATAATTGAGTTTTGGCCCAATTATTATTGGATCATTAACCCAATATTTAAGCATGATCCAAAATCAAGTTTATCTTTCAACACGTCTGTGAATCTCATCTGGGTAAGCACGAATCATTTGCTCCGCCTTTGTCATCTTCGTTCAGTTTCCCGAGAGTACATATAACGTAGACCCGCCATTGTTGTTGTAGCTTCAGCCGCAAGCTTCCTCCTCCCCTTTTTGATTGTTGCTGGTGTTCCCAGTCATCGCCTGTGAGTCACTTGTCGTAAGCAATCTGAGTTCATTCATCATCCGTTCATCAGTTTTGAGAGTTAACGTAACATGTGGGTTGTTGTCTCCAATGGTTGCTTCAGGCCCAAGTTAAACGTTGTTAAGTTGAGATCACCTTTTGCCGTGTGCTTTTCCCTTCTGTTTATCCGAAAATCAAAGGTGAGGGTGGGATCCGTGGATTCTTAAAACTTCTAGTTAATTAGTACGTGTAAATACTAGATTTAGAGAATTGTTGGTGACTATGATGATTGAGAAAATGATGTTAAGTGATTGTTATAAGTTAGATGATGAAATGTTAAGTTGATATGATGTATTGGTGGAGAGTATATGTTATGTTTTGGCGAAGTTAGACTGAGAGCGAGGACATGGCGATCTCGTTTAAGTCTGTACTTCAGTGCAATCGGACTGAGAATGAGGACATGGCGATCCCATTAAAGCCCGTTAACCGGCTGACGAGCCAAATGGTGGTGGAAGACCTTTCGAGGTGCCCGACCAGCCCAATGTCATGATAAATTATATTGAATTATTGGTGGTGGAAGACCTTTCGAGGTGTCCGACAGCCGGGTTGTCATGTGATTTGTGTTGAGTTGTGATACGGTTAGATATACTTATTAATGGTTGTTTGCTCTAGAGTTAGTATTTGCGTGTATTGTTAAATAGTGGTGTTGTGAATCATGTGGGCGGACATGACCAACCTCACTGAGTGACTCTGTTACTCACCCCCTCCCTTTCCTCTCTTTAGTGTGTGCAGGTGTGGTTCTTGTGGTGAAAGTTAGGGCGCAAGACCTAGGAGATGAAAGTGATGGGAACGGGTGTTACATCTAGTTTTACTCTCCATTCATTAATGATATATTTTCTTCCTCCATTCATAAACAATCCATAATCAACGTGCACAAGGGGAGACTTAAATCTGTTTTAACTCACGTCTCGTTTTTTTTTCCGTTTATGTGCAACTGGACATCTTTTTCACATTCTTGTCTTCACTCTAAGATAAGGAAAGTGCAAGTCTGCAAAATAAAATAAAAAATGATATAATGCGGTCGATGCTGCTGAAATAAGCTTAAGTAGCACGAAGAAAATGTGGCACGGTCAGCAAAGTGTTAGATGGTCAATTTCAATAAACCTAAATTAACAAAACTCTATTTTAATACGTTTCATCGACTATTAATTTAAAACTAATTAATAGCTGTTGATTCATATTTTTTGTATATATTATATAATTTTATAATAATTATTTTTAACAAGGTAGTAATTAAGAGCATTTTCATCAATAAAAATTTCACTTAAGTATTTTAATATAAATAATATTAATATTTAATTAGTTGTAGTATGAATACAAAATTATATAATTATTTAATTTTTAGGTGTTTCAAAAAGTTGAGAGATTCACACCAAAATATCTCAAAATCTCTCATTTGAAATATTTTGATATGAGTCTCTCAACTTTTTGAAATACCCAACTATTAAATAATTATATAATTTTATATTCACATTTTGTTAGTTAAATATAAATATAATTTATGTTAAAATACTTATGTACAAGATTTATTGATAGAAATGTTGTGAGAAGATTTTTATTAGTGAAAACTTTTTTTATTATTTCTCTTATGAAATACAATATTAATAAATTTTAAATTATGAAAGGAAGCTAAATATTAACTAACAACTGTAAAATACATTTATAAAAGTCTCTTAAATCAGAAATAATTTCTCTTTTTTCTTTCTCTTTTTCAAGTTTTTAAAAATCTTTTAAAGCATATTTTTTACAATGTTTTTTTTTTTAAATAGAGCTCATCGAGACAATTTCCATTAGATTACTCTCTTCAAATAAAAGGAAATACTTAAAAATAAGAAATTTTTTTTACAAAGAATAAGGAAAAGAAAAATATTTTTATATTAAAATAGAAGAAATATTTCTAAAGAAAAAGAGAAATGGAGTATGATGGAACCGACTACTTAACTTTATAAAAAAAGGATTTTCCATGACTTGAAGATCAATCAGAAAACCGTAGAGAACACAAAAGCAAGATGATTTAAAGACACAAGGATAAACTCCTCAAGTTATATTTGTATTTCATAACATATAAAGAAGAAGTATTCTCTGCAACCTAAAAGCTATCAACACCCAAAGAAAAAGAATTTTTAGATTATGTAAATAATATTATAAAACCCTCTCAGAATGATTTTGACACGTACGTAAATTCGCAATTATAGCTTCTCTCTTATTTTCTCTCTCTAAATTCTCTCAATTTTCTGAACTAATCTTCTCGGATCTGAGTGTTTTTTGGTCGGTGTCCGGCGTAAATCCGAGCCGATACTGTGCTGTTTATATTATCTCGGATTTTGTTTTTGTTTTGTGTTATATTTTTCCGCTAGTCGGAAGATGTTTTTCCGTTTATCGGACTTACCTTTTGCCTTTTGCATGTTCTTCAAATCTTCGATTAATGAAGATTAATTCCTGAAGATTGTTTGATTCTTGTTTTTCCTGGTTTTGCTCGATTTCATCTTCACAAGAGAGGAAATTCTTTGGTTTCCGATGTAAATCTTGGTTTTATAATACCAAATTTCTCTTAGAATTTGCAATCGAGTTGGTTGGATTTAGGTGTTTGCTTCAGTTCAGAATATGTAGAGGTTGGGGTCTCTTAGGCAGTGTTTCTTAAGAGGTGTCTCGCCAATTGTTCTGTTTCTAAAGCATTTGCCGTTTCCAGATTTCATTTACTCCAGTGAAATTCTACTGAATCATCAATTGTTTTAGGCGATTTTATGCAAAAGGAATAAGTACAGGTTTTGAGTTGAAATGTCGAAGGACTAATTGGCGATTTGGAGCCTCATCAGCGGCGAGAACCCGGTGAGAGTCCGGTGGCATAGCTCAAAGACGGTGGTGACGTAGCTCAAAGGCGGCGACATTTTCAACACTTTGCCCAATCGTAACACGTGTCTTGGAGGTGTCACACTTAGGTTATGCTTAATGTCTCACATGTTATTAGCCTATTAGCGTTTCATTGTAATTTTTAGTGTATTGGGCTCAAGTGGGCTTTGTAAAACCTTTCTACCCTTTATGGATTTTAATCCAACAAGCCGACAAAAAAAAATAAAATAAAAACCATCTCAGAATGTCAATACAAAACTTGGCTGAGGCGGCACAAAAGGAACAAATAAAGAAAATGAGGGAGTTATTCCTTCAATTCGGCTGCCCTTCCACTTACTCTTCTGCGTCTGTTGATAAATTATCCTTCCCAGCCTCATTTATTCCAGACACATCATCTTGAACTCCTCGCAGCAGCTCGGCAAGGATATATCTAAAAAGCTGATACATCAAGCCAAATTCGTAAAAATTTATGGGAATAATCCATTCATTGTCAAAAGAAAAATCACTGTGAAGAAACAAAAGGTCTAACATGTTCGTCGCAACGAAGTCATCTTCCACAATAAAAACCTCATCAATTGCATTGTCCTCAGCCTCCCACTCTGTGAGCTTTTCCATGATAGCCGAGATCATTTCGGAGGGAATATCACCACCTTGGCACTGCATCTGTTTCAGGTAGGCATCTGTTTTATATGCAGGTCGTACCAGGCCAAAGCATTCTAGTTTACTTTGTCAGCCACATATCGAGTTGCACAACTGCGAGACTTGCAAAGTCTCCTCTTCGGCGGCTGCCTTCTGCGCATGATATACTGTGTTTTTGAAGTTTTCTAACCTAAAGTTTTTAATGAGTTTTCATGTCAAAGTGTGATTTTAGAATCTATTAGTCCTTTTATTGAGTCTTTTTAGGTTGCTTTGGGAGAAAATGAATCATTTTCGGTGCAAACAAATATATTTTAATGCAAAACTACCTAGAGGCGCCTAAACTTTGGCAATTGGTGAGGCATTTTCCACCGATGGATCGAAAGAAAATTTTGACGCGGACTAGATCTTTGAGTTAGCTTTCATTTGGAAATGGTTTGAAGTCGATCCAACAAAGCGATATAAAGTTATGGCAATTGTCGTAAAGATATGTTAGTATGGCAGAAAATTCTACCCGAGAGCACCAATGCGGAAGATGCCAGAAATGAAGATCGACCACTTTAGTGCCTTCAGAAATTTTTGTGAATACTGACAGAAAACTCCGCCCGAGAGCACCAAAGGGGAAGATGCCAGAATTTCAAATTGACCACTCCAGTGCTTGCGAGAAGTTTTGCTGTTTTTAGCAATTTTCCTTATTTTGACCTAAAACAACATGAGACCTATATATACTTATTTTTGGTCATTGTAGAGGCTACTTTTTTCTTTTACATTGAGACTTCTAGCTTTTTTGCAATCGTGAGCTTTTGAAAGACTATCTTTCTACTCTACATTTCTCAGAATATTTTTGAACCCTAACTGATTTCTATTTTACTTATTATGAATTTTTTTCATCTCTCTGCTGTATTTCTTCTTCCATATCTGAGTAATCCATTAGTTAGGTTTATAGTTTCAAAAGAATCATAAATCA